GGGTGTGTGTGTGTGTGTGTGTGTGTGTGTGTGTGTGTGTGTGTGTGACACCAGGGTTTGAACCCATGGTCTTACTGCGTGCCAGGCAAATGCTCTATCCCTGAGCTGTGTTTCTAGCCCTTATTTGCTTCTTTCTTGATGCCTGAAGTAAAGGAGCAAGAAGACTGCGCCTGGCACCGCTCCGAAGTGGGATGAGCCTGGGGAGTGATGCGGAAGTCCAGAAGTGAAGGTGTGCTCGCAGGCGCAGGCGCTCTGCCGCTAAGGCCAACACACAGCCTGCCTTTGTAGGGCTTGTTTCCCTGGAGGTCAGGAGAGCTGGGTCTGGAACACAGTCTGGGGCAGGGAGTGGGAGGCCACCTCCCTGCTGTCTCACTGCTTCATCCCTCTTTGGATTTTGGTTGTTTTTTTTTTTTTAATACTTTTAAAAATTTATTTAACTTTCTTTTATGTGCATTGTTGTGAAGGTGTCAGATCCCCTGGAACTAGAGTTACAGACAGCTGTGAGCTGCCATGTGGGTGTTGGGTATTGAAGCTGGGTACTCTGGAAGAACAGTTAGTGCTCTTAACAGCTGAACCATCTCACACCAGCCCTCATTTTATTTTATTTTTATATGTTTTTTATATTTGTTTGTGTGTGTACCTATTCCATATCACATGTAGAGACGGAACAACTTGTGGGAGTGATCCTCTCCTACCATGGAACTAAGAGGTGTCTTTACCCACTAGTTGTTCCAGTTGCTGCTGCTGCTGCTGTTTGAGAGAGGGTCTCATTGTTTAGCCCACACTGGCTTCAGAACCACCATCTCCTGCCTCCGCCTCCCAGGTGCTGAGATCACAGGGTGGTGCTTTGCCACACCTCTAGCCTTTACTCCCGTTCTTCCTGCTCTTATCAGTAACACTTTTCCCTCGGTTCCAGAGGGATCCAAAGCTGAGAAAAGTTGGCCTTCCTAACTTCCAGTTCTGGGAGTCTTCTCCGGAACAGCTAGCCACTCTACCAGGCATCTAAATTCAGCCTCCTCTTCAAGGGCCTGGGGCTACACTCAGATCTGGAAGATCTCAGAACCAAATGACATAGGCGAGCTTCCCCTTCTAGCAACACCCAAGCTAGGTAAAGAGGCAGGGTGGTATGCCATCCTCCCCCAGGCTGCCTAATGGCATATGCTGGGGGTGGGGGAGAAAACTGCATAGGCATGGCAGCATCAGCATCCACACAGGATTCTGGAAACACTTGGAACCACCTGAGGCCTCCCACATTCTTTCCCTTCCTGCTAGGCCTAGTTTTCTGTCCTAGCACATGGCAGGGCCTTTCTTTTGATCTTCAGGTTGGGCTGGTAGCACTCAGGGGTCTCCACCAGGACTAGTGACAGGTCATGAGATATCACAAGGCAGAGGGATGTCTGGAGACCTTCCCAAGAAGGAAGTCAGTGTCCACCTTTCCCCAGTGACCTCCTCTTGAACTCTGGAAATGGCTGGCTCCCTAGGAGTGGAGTGGGTCATGCCTGGATCCTTGGTCCCTCTGGTGCACAGGACAAGAGAAGAAGTGAGGTGTCTTAGGCCAGATTGACAGGCCCAGGGTGCCAGGCCATGCCTTTTCCCCTTAACTCACCTCCTTACCTAACTGACCTAGAAAGCCCTGGAAGTCAGTAAAGGTCTCACCCCAAAGAGCATAGAGCAGGGGGGTCCTGTGCCTGTGTCTGGGAGACAGTAGCAGGCCATGGATGTCTGGAAAGACAAGAACTTTCTAGAGACCTGGTCTCTAGAGCAGAAGCCTCATTCTTGAAGACCTAGGAGAGAGAGCTGCAATGAGCTCCTGACGTCTCTTCTAGAAGACCTGGGCATTGCTGTAGGCATCTATTCTGCCCCTCTGGGTCCTTCAGTGGGGGCTGCTGCTCCAGCACCATGGGGCTGCGGAGCCCAAGAGATTTGCCAAACTGGCCCAACCACAAGGGAAATGCAAGCTAAAAGTGACTGCCCAGCTTGCCAGGCATTGAGGCAGCTGCAGGTACTGAGAGGGAGGAGGGAGAGGGAGATGGGGGTGGGGCGAGGGTGTGATGAACAGAATGAAGGATAGGTTCCCTGCCTGCAGAGGCAGGTCAGGATGTGGTGGTGTGGGGGGGCAGCCCTTCTTGGGG